TTATAAAAATTGAGAAGAATTTTTTACTGGTTTATATACTGTTATCGAGGGTACTGAAGACGAATCTGAACTTTGTTATCTATAATTTTTCCGGTTATTAAGACTATTTTAATATAAACTCTACAATAAGTCTTTTATTTTAAACCATTCTCATTTCCTAGTGACTTTAAGAGAACAAGGTTGATAATTATCGTCCCATAGCCATTATAAAATTGTGCAGCAAAATGTTTGAATTTGTAATACTTAAGTATATATGATAAACTATATATGCCTATTTTCAAAAATTTAATATCAATCGAACAGCAAGGATTTAGTCGTAAAAATCTATGGATACAACTTTCAGTAATAAAATATCAAAATATTTTCCGTGAACAAGTTAAGTGTGTTTACACTGATTTCAAGATAAGCTTCGATAAAGTATTCTTATATAGCTAAACTGAAATATGATCTTAGCGATCACCTAATAAATTTCTTCTTGTCTTATTTAAAACTGAGGTCTCACAGTAGGTACTGTTTGGTGGTGAAGTATCTCGTGCAATCCTCGCAGACTCTGGGATCCATTAGGGCTAATTGTAATTATTAATATTTGTCAGGGATCTCCCCCTACGTATTACATCAGACTGCCCCATGAATGCAGATGATCTATAAGAAAATATCCACGAAAATATCCAACCTAGATGACTATCTAGTTAAGACCTTCAAAATGACTTAAGACTTAATTTTGGATTGGTCACTAAAAAAAATCCTACTTAAAAAGACACTCTACTTAACAAAATACCTCGCAAAATACCTACTTTATTTGATATGAAACTTGTAATAAGTGTACCAAATGTTCGATATGACCCATAAATTTTACGGTTTAGAATATAGAGAGTAATATAGTTATGTTGGCACATGATAAAAGAAACAGTCTGTATATTACTCGGTATATTATAGAAAGATGTGAAAAAATGTTTCAAATAAAAAGAGTGTCAATTGAATATTTTGAGACAAACAAAGCGCTTTCTAGAACTATTATAAAATGACTTAGACTGTAGACTTGGATTACTTGTTACCTATTCCAATTGATAGATAGTATTGATAACTATGGTAAATACGTGGTTTTTTTTACGAAAAAACATTCCTTTTTGAAAATAAAAAATTGAACAGCCATTTTCATTAAATTTCTTGATTGACTAGATCACGTGGGATGCGGGTATTGTGGCCCGGTGCAATATTGCCAGGTCTACTGTTTTTGCCTTCGTCTTAGAGAGAGTTTAGATTTTTTTCGAGTTCCTTTTATACTGGTAACTTGTTCCTACTTGGGAATACCTATTAATTGTTCATTAGATCAAAAACAAATGTATTTTTATTGTTGTTTTATCTTTTTTATATTTTTTTTCAGTTATCATTATAGTGATTATATACTGTTGTTTTTTCTATGTAGTGTTCCCTCGAGTGTTCCTCTACAATAAGTTTTTTTTGTTATTGTATAATATTTTATTGGTGTTCCTGTTACTTTTAGTTTTATGATATCCAAAGTATTATGGCTTTTTTGCACTGTTTATTTTGTTTATTATGTAGGTAAATATTATTTTGAGCAAGTCATGTGTTACTAAAGTTATACCTATGTAATATTTTTTTATTTTAATGAAACTAAGTTGATGTCATATACTTATTTTTTTAATTTGTTGTTTAAACATAACAAGTTGTGAGTAAAATACCTCGTAAAATACGGGGGTAAAATAATACTGAATTAGTTAACGATGCAGTCCTTCGACATAATAATCTATTTTCTGTCATGGTACATAAGTAGTCTACCATTATTAGGTAAAGGATTACGTACCATTCGTAATAGTCTACTTACCACCTCTAAAAAGTTTGTGATTTATCCATATTATAAATATGGATACACATAGGCGCCGGAACTCAAAAATTGCTTTGGGTGCCCGGCCTTTATACGGGAAATGGGGGCAATCTCCCTCCACCTCCACACCTCACTTAAAGGCACCACCGGTTTTTTAAAAGCACTTTAAAAGCTATTTTAAAGCGTTAATTTTATGAAAATAATCTTGAAAAAAAAAAGGTATTGTCACATGTCCAATTGCTAGAGTTTTGAGGATCGAAGCGGCAGACGGAATATCAACAATCGGTAGGATGGAGGCTTGAAGGCTACCACCTAAATCGGGATATCTGGCATCTGGTAACCCTATATGCTCGGTGCAGTCACCACTGGTATTCAGTGGTGCTGCAGTGCTAAAGTACCAATGAAATAAGTAAAAACAATATAAAACATTTATTAACTAATTTAGGAGATTTTTGATTATTTATTAATACACATATTATAATGGAGTATTGTATATATACAGGGTGGCCATTTGAAAACAAAACATAGCCAATTTTGTCGCACCCCAGTTCCTTTACGATAAAAACGCTCAGACCCGTCAATTTTGGATTTAGGGAAACATTTTTTTGCTAGTTTCGTCTCATTAACAGAAACCCTCTAGCGGGGGTGAAACTTGCCCATAAAAGATCCCCGAGGATTCGGCGCCTATGTGGATACAAATTATTAATATCAAACCCATGGAAATCCAATTGATCCCCATGGAGATCCAAGGATATCCCTGGAGATCCAAAGATATTCATGAAGATCTATGGAGTTACATGAAGATCTCCACAAAAGGAGATTTTCCGTGCTAAAAAATCGCAAGTGACTACCTCCATGGTCCCAACTTTTTATTTAATACCTGCTGGGAACCAAATTGAATATTTCCTTTGGGATTTTGCATTTTTATTAGTTTTCACTTATAAAAAGAAGACAATTTTCAATTTTAGATTGTTGTATGTACGTAAACAAGTTTAAGGCGAATTTAGACTTTATATTTTGAGTGTATGTATTCGATTAGGTATTCACTTTGGATATTCCGAGATATAACCCAACCATTGTTGTTTAACCCAAAAATAGATACTTACAATTAAAATACAATTCTATTGAAGTATCTACGGAGAATATTATTATTTACAAAGAATGTTTATGTCATACCAATTATTAATGTTGTATGCACCCAGAGATGCACCCCATTCATGAATTATAAATTTAAAAAGAATTATGTGTATTATTGATTGACAATTAAGTACTTACCAAGGTATGTACTTACCGAGTTAACAAGACAAGAAGGTAGTCTAGGTAATGACTGAAATATATTTCAAATTCCATGTTTTAAATTCAACATTCAGAATGCTATCAATATTTTTAATTAACAAACTACCTAGTTAGTACTTTAGGTAAAAAACTTAATGCCTAACTACCTAGATATGAAGGTAAGTATTTATCAACGACTAGAACCTATTATAGTAATTCAACGACTAATTCATTCATTCATAATTACGTTCTTATTTATTGCAAACATTTAGATTGTGTTTTACATTAGGCAGAGAGAGCTGTCGCATCGGCTGCCGCATTAGAAAGAGCGAGTCGGTTGCTAAATTGAGTGGGGATGGTTTATGCAAACTTGTCTAGTAGCTGGTACCAAGAATGCAAATAATATACTTCTTTAATGTAATTTTTAAAGTATTTTGCGTGTTTTAGAGCCTTATGTTAAGTCAATTCCGAATGATAACCATAAACAATCCTTTTAGCAAGGCTTTCTCTTACTCTCCCATAATATCTATAGTTGTAACGTGTGGAGGCTGGGTTAACCCACGGCACTTAGGCCTCACTAGGCCCATTGTGCATCCTCCTAGGCCGTGAACCAGCCTACATATTTAATGTAGTTGACAACGTCGCCAAGACGTGCTACTCTTATATCGGCCAATTCTCGCCGAACACAAATCTTCTAATAAATGAGAGCATCGGGCTCGATGGTCCCGTCTTCTTGTTCGCACCCCCTGCAGAGTATGGATTCTGACACCCCCATAATATGGAGATGCTTCCGAAGGTTGGGGCAATGTCGGCAATGTCTAGTCAGAATGCTGTGCTCAGGCGTAGATTCTGTCTAGTCATAGTTCAAGTATTTGCTGTAGTGTTGTCAGGATAACTTAAAAGCTTCCTGGCAAGTCTGCAGCTTCTTGTTTCATCCTGTTTTTCCTTGAATTCCAGAAGGGAATGTTCTATAAGTAATTAGGTTTGTCACTACCGATATTGTCCCATAATAATTTGGCAACTATGTGGATAATACCGTGAATGCTTGCAATTCGATTTTTGTAAACAAAATTAGTGTAGTACTTAGTCGTTGGTACCTACTGTACAAATTATTATTTTTCTATCAGACTAATTTGCCTTTCTTAGACAGTTGTAGATGAAAAATTCATAGTTAGATAATTATCATGTTTAGGTTTTGTTGTTGACCTAGTAAAACTATTAAAATATTCATTCATTATTATGGTTATAACAATATTTACACCGTAACTAAAAGCATTTATAAACTCGATAACTAAATGAAATTCCCAAGAATGTAACTGTCTTAGAACAGTTCTTTTTCTATTAGATTGTAGATTAAAACAGAAGGTGGGAAACAACAAAGTCGATGTTCACTCTATGCCAATTAATAATTTATTTACGTTAATAATAGATTACTAAAAGCGCACAACACAAACCTGATCATTGACCCAGACGGCCGCCATGCTGTCAGTGAGAACAGTACAGAAATTTTAAGGTTAGGAAAGTTCAGAACCTTCAAAACCAAATCAAATAAAAATCAATAATAAAATCCCATAAAAAAGTACTAAAAACGGTATTAAAATCACTATATGAGCTTCTAGTTCATAACATAAATACGAATATTATGTTTCTAGCCTGGTTTTAGTACAGGATATTGCATAGTTTTTTAACCATTATTTTCTGTCGTAAAATCTTGTTTTTGCCAAGAATCTTATATCAAAGCTACATATTAATGGGATTTGATCCTAATAAATGATGAATCTGCTTCTGAAAGCTCATTTAGAGGTTCAACGAAGCAGGCATAATCCATAAGGTTGTTTTGAGTAATTACCAATCAAACTTTAATTAGTATTTAATTTACCTGTTGCCAATGATCATCCAGAGAAGGTCTAGCTGAAAAATATCCAGTATCGTGGATGTCTTGTAGCTCCCTGAAGATGTCAACGCTTGGTAATATATCCATGATTGTTCACAGTCCACCACAATTCACAATAACACCGAGAAAACACACATGAGTTAATAAAAATTTATCCAGCAAAACTAAATCACGTCGTCGGCATATTATTTAACCTCTAATACAGGTAACACACATCAGACAGTAATACTAATATAACAAAAAAACACAAGTGTATTTCTGTTTCACTCAGATTTTAACAACATAACATAAAATCCCACACACTAAATTCAAATACTGTCAAATAAATGCATACAGCGGTCCCGGTATAGGTTTAAATCTACAACAAAGTTCGGCTTATTTGTGTAGGTTTAAAAATACTAATGTTTTGATAATTAAATGGTATTTAAATATACTGATAGGGAATTCAGAGATAACGGAGCAACGTTGTTTCTCTACAGCAGAGCCTCGCGGCACCACGACTGAATCTAGTGGTCTATGGACATTCGTCTTCCTTTGCAATGGGTTTCAGATAGAGGTGGAAGGGAACTGTCGCTTTCTAGAACCGTTACTTCATACAGTGCGTGCTTTTACTACTGCATTCGTCAATGATTGTATTGTATATAAATAATATGCTTTTAAAGAACTGTGAATGTAAGGTGTGAAAGAGCAAAAAGTGAATTGTATCGACAGGGCAGGCATCAGGATCAATTTTTTAAAAATGGAAATTAAAATTGATATCAATTTAAAAAAAAATGGTAGGTATATATATTTTTTTACAATAAATATTACTCCTAGAATTCAAATTTAATACTTGTTTAATCCTAAAATATAATAAAGCAAATATTGAAGATAAAATAATATTGTGGAAATCGCTGTCCCACTTCAAAACTGTAACATATCAAAAGTTTTAGAATTTGAGATAAGAATGTATTCTTAGCAAGAAGGGCAAGATCTATGCAGTTCATCACTATACTATCTCAAAAGATTTTGTAGATGAAAATATAGAAACAAAATCTTGAGATATTATAGTGTTAAACTCTATAGATCTTACCCTCCTTGCAAAGAAATTCTTATCTCAAATCTTAAAATTTTTGAAGTGTTGTAGTTTTGAACTTTGACAGCGAAATGGTATTTTTAATAGGTATGGTTTGGTCATAGACAATATAGTTAGTTGTTCGTTTACGTTCAAAATTAATTGCTATATTTCAGAAACGGTCACCTTATAGTTAGAACTTCATTTCATTACAATGATTTACATTAATAAAATTTTACAGTGTTTTTCTTGTTTTGTGTTTTAATGTTGTTTGTGTCAATTAGGTTCAAGTGTAGTCTTGGCTAAATCTTCACCTTTTAGAATAATAAAGAATTTTATTATTAATACTATATAGGTATGAAAAATGCTTAATTCCTCTTTAAGATATCTAACCTCCTAACTTTTTATGAGGCCCACAAATAAGACCGAATCTTGAACACTGTTTACTCATTTGAGGAACAGCTGCGCCAATAATGCGTTTACTTGCTTGATACCAATTAGATTAATTAGGTAATATCTTTCCTTACTTTTTCCCCAAATACTGTGACTTAAATGTTAGCTAAAAAATAAAATATTTTCTACTCGTATTTTAACGATAATTGGACCAGAAAGTTAGTTATTAAATACGTACGCATGGAGACACTCTGTATATGTAATGATTGACAGTTTTATTTTACATTACAGTAATTAAATGCATGACTAAGGCAATTTATATTTGATGAAGACATTGGTTGGCTGCAGTATCCTAAAAAACTTTTCTTCAGCTAAGTAAAGATAATTATATAAATTTTATATAACTTTTTGCAAACTAAGAAATCTGGGCCATAGTCTATTATTCTTCTATTTTTCAACTGAAAATTATCCGTGTGCAGGATAAAAAAAATGGAACAAAGGTCAACATCTACAAAAGATTACGGTATTGAAGAGTAAGGATTAGCGAAATTCAGTAATTTATATGGATTCAAATATTTCATAAAAAACCGACGAACAAAACTAGCACTTTTGTTTGCAAAAATCCAATTGCAAGTATTTACGGCGTTATATACGTAGTTGCCAAATTATTATGAGAGTGTATCTTGTTAAAAGTATTGATTATGGTTTTAATTCGAAATTGGCTTAACAAAAGTCTCTGAAATCACAAAAGGCTTTAAAAATTACAAAGGAAGTATATTTGCATTCTAAACGTCAATTAATATTTATTTAATGCACTTTTTAGGTCGAAACTATTATTGTAGTGTGGCAACGGTGTAAAGTAGGAATCATAGTTGTACGACCGATTCATTAAAAAAACGTGTGCTCGTCCCTCAGATTAACAAGCTCGCATAAAATCCCCAGTCAAATCAGCAGGTGTCTCGCTCTTTCTAATGCGGCAGCCGATACCTGACATAAAACACATCTGAAACCTTGCAATAAATAAGGGCTTAATTGTGAATGACTAGATTAGTCTAGTAGTTTTTTGTCATTGGTTGCAAGTGAATTATTGATGATGATGATGACAAATGTCGAGATGATATTTCCAAATGTAAATGTTGAGATGTTCTAGTTAAATGTCAATCTAATTGGAGTGTATAGATAAGAAGAACTATCTCTGTTTACATAAAGTGTCCGTCAAAATGTATGAGATTAAGATCGATGGCGTTACTGTACCAGAATGTCGTCGAAAGTTATGACAGTCGATAATTCAAATCACACAATCACACCAATGATGTCTATAGTTATATAAATTGCTCACCCATATATAAATAAGAGGGTATATATTATGCTCTAAGGGTATAGCCTAACAACTAAAAACTACATCGTGAAAAGCGACTGAGTTTATAATCGCAGACATAAAATATTTTGATAATAAATGACAGACTCTTGCTTTTCGTCCTTACATCATTAGATCTTGCTTTTCTAGTACACGAGCGCCATTCTGATGGTCACTTTCTGAAACCTTATTTACTGCTATTGACTGGACACTTTTTAAAATGAACAAACATCTTAATATGAGATTGTCCTCCTTTCCTCTACACTCCATAGGTTTTTATAAATAGTGAAAAAATCTGTATTCTTAGTTGTTACTGTTTATCAATGTTTTAATATTTACTTTCAAATCGTTTTTTCAAATTAACACATTTATTTAAATAAACACGAGACATTTAAAAAAAAGAGCTCTAAAATAACACCATGTGCCTTCCACCTCTATGCTTCATACACGGATCGGCTCGGATGTTCGTCTCTCGGTGCTTCAAGTTTTCGTCACGTAGCGCCACCGCCGCTATAAAAGCGTTTCGATCGTATGCGTGTTGATGATGCGCGCCGGCCCGATCATGGCCAATGAGATATTGCACCTATATATTACTTTATTCTACGCTCGTACAACTGATGTCAGATATCTGATAATTCTGCGATAATTTTTTAAGTTGATCCGGGGCTCTCGAAACGATCGTCTTGTCCTTTTTCAATGACATAATGGTCCGCAATCTCGAAGATGCGATAATTGGATCGCTGATAGTCGATTGTTTGATTAGAATTCGTCTTTTTGCACCTTGCGGGATTCCGATTTGTTGCCACGCAGCACGCAGCAAAAACTTGCCGCTTCCTAGGAAGTTGGTACCCTGTTTTTTGCCCCAAGGCTGTGATTATTATCATCTGTACATTGCATTAGAGATGGGTCTTCATTAATAGATCATGTCTGTCACCAGCGGATGCAGGCAGTCTAAAAAGTGTACTTTCCTCACACATACGCATGAGATTAAAAACCACTACCGATTAAAAAGTGTTCATCAGGAAATATACGGGGGCAGGCTAACAATTTCACTTCTTTGGCTACACAACCTATAGGATTGGGTACACTTTTTTTTATTTCAAAATTTGCAGATAAGAAAGTCAAACGTTTTCCTTTATAAGCTAGTCATCTTGAACCAATATCGATGGTTAAAGCAAAAGATAATAGGCGACAGTTTTATAACTTTACAGTAGGACGACTTAAAGCTCAATTATTTTTTAAAAATAATTAAGTACCTAACGTTTGTGCAAACCAGGTGCACTGGATGAAAGAACATTCGGATCAAAGAAGGACCATGTTATTTTTGTAGATTAAATCTACTGTTAATTCATTGACTGAAAACCGGTACAGGTAGCTCTGTATTCAACCTTGATAGAGAAAGCCTTTGTCCATAAAATCAAATACTGACAAACGGCACAATGTTTTATTTAATTAATCGACAACAAGATGAGAACACAAATTATTTACAACAACTAAATGACTAAATCATTTAGTTGCTTGTAGGAAAATCAAACCTCATGCTAGTAGTTATGTTTGGAAACGAAGTGAATTGATCGAAGGTTGGAAAAAGTGTTTTTTAGCGAGAACGATATGCACTCCGAGGCATTCTATGGAGTCGAAGGTAAAAAGTGAAGTGAGTACGTAGCGAGAGATATCTACATGACCCGAGACATGTTGACTGTTGGAAGTTTAAAACTGGAGTGACGATAAACGAGAAACGAAAGGATGTGTAAACTTAAAGGTAGAGTGTGCAACTCGTCTGTTATTGTGTCTGGAGAAGATGTTTACAAAATTTTAAATAATTTTCATGACATTTAAGAGTAACATCAATAAAGAAAAATATCAATACTGAGTTTACATAGATAGGGGGCATCAGTAAAACCAGTGTAATAAATCTAAGTGTTTGTTTCTTGTGTTGGTCATTAATTACACACACAAACTGCATTCGTTACAAAATTATTATCGTTTAAATAATTTGACAATCAAATATGAGTCAGGTGAAACCTACCACATTATTAGAGGATGTAAGCATTAGGGTAAAATGATTTAACCCCCTAACTTTAAATATAAGCAATAAGTAATAGTATACTCTTTCGTAACCTTCAAAAAATGATTTTAGACGAGTAAAATACTATACTTTTTCTATGAACTCTATTATGCCATGTGCTAAAATGGAAAAATGCTTTAGTTTGTATTAGAAACAATAAAAATTAACTATTCAATATTTCACAAAAAATATTTTTAATTTAATTATCAGTTATT